TAGATATTTAGCTGAAGAGATTTCTAAGCAAAGGATTGAAAATGCAATCTGGTTTATTCTTGCTAAAGTGTAAGAGAGAACAGACAGATTGGGAGATGAACTGTTCAGAAATAAAGGAACCAGGATTAGATAATTTTGAAAATTCTTAGCCCATCCAGATTGCAAAAGAGACAAAAACTAGGAGATTCACTATGAATAAGTACATTCTGGAAAGAAAGCCGTGAGTGTGGCTGTACCATCCTTTGCTAGTTCCACTGAAGAAATAAAAGATCAATTTATTTAGTGATAGAGAAAGCTCTTTGAAGAAATTAAGGATGTGATTCATGGATCCCCTCAGCCCCAAATATCAATGATTTATTCAAGAGAGATCTGCAGAGGAGTATAACACAGTGAATCCTTGTGATGTACACCAAAGACCCACAAGGTTCCTGAGAATGGTACGTCTCAGAAACACCATAAGCTTGAATTGAAAGGGATGAAAGAAAGAAAGAAGGCTATCTGGCCTCCAAAATTCTACAGGAAAAAAAAAAGGCTGATAAAACAAGTTAGATGCAAAGACATGGACGTTTAATGAAAAAGAATAATATCCCAGACAGCAGAACTATACACAGGTCCAGAGGGCGAAGCTGACAGTCACAGAGGATTACTCCCAGGCCTTGAAACCTAATAGTTGAATTTGAAATTTCTGGGGACAAGTGATCCTTTTCCCCCCTTTCATCTTCTTCCCTTTTGAGTGGGAATGTCTATGATATTTTCCAATGCCTATTCTATCCATTATATTTTGGGAGCAGATAATGTGGTTAGATGATGAGGAATGTTGCCTTAGAATGAATCATACCTACAGTCTCAGCCATGCCAGATTTAGATAGTTAAATGATGAGATGGATACCAATCTGGAGATGATGATATTTAGAAGATATTTTGGACTTTGAGTTCATCTTATAATGGGCTATACTTTGAGGGACCTTGGCATAGAGTGAATGTATTTTACAGATGGGACAGAAGTGGATCTTTGCGGTCAGAGGGTAGATTATGATAGGCTGAAAATTGCCCCTCAATCCCAACCAAAGATATCTGTGCCCTAATCCCCATAACCTATAAATACTAAGATGTAGCCTTATAGTCAAAAGAAAATATTTCCTTGTATATCAGAGTATTAATTTTACACCTACAGGCTCAAGGCAAGGACAAGAACCCAGATGACTTGATTGTTAATAAAGAGTGTAGTGTGTTTCCAACTGCTCCCAGGTCCCAGTTCTCACCAGGGAAACACAGGCTAAACAATAAGGAAATCGAAATAGGCCAAGTAGGGTCATTACTATCCCTCCTTAACTTTTCCTCATACTTCCACCCACCCAGAGAGGGGAAACGAACTTAGCTACAGAACTTTTCAACTCGGTGCACATACCTCTGCCTTCACACCCACTCTGCAGTGCCCCCCAGTATCAAAGTATTAAAGGGACACTTTTTAAAAGGTATTTTGAGATAAAGAAATTATCCTGAATTATCCAGGTAGGCCTGACACAATTGTAAAGATCCTTATAAAAGAGGAGCAAAAGACCAGAGAGAAGGCAGGCAAAAAAGCAGAAGAGAAAGCAACGTGAAAAAAGAAAACAGGACAGAGAGAGAGAGTAATGTGATGCAGGGCTATGAGTCTAGGACTGAAGCTAGAAAAGGCAAGAAAATGGATTCTCCTCAAGACCTTCAGAAGGAGCCTGCCTGGCTGATACCTTGACTTTAGCCCAGTCAGATTGATTTGGGGTTTCTGACCTCTAGAACTGTAAAATAATTAATAAATGGTGTTTTAAGCTTTTGTGATAATTTAATACACAAGCATCAGGAAAAAAATCCAGATTAGGTACTAATTATAAGCGAATAATTAGGTAACAGCTTGCTATGATTCACATCTTATGAAATATTTCACAAACATATACTAAATATGGATATGCAGTCCCATCAAATTTCTTAGATTTGTTATACAAAGACAATCACATAAATTTTATTTTAGTGCAGGTATGCATACATTTGCTTTCAAATTTGAAGGCAGAATGAGAAAAAAAATGACAATTAATACAAGAGATGAAGAATCTGTTTCTGACTGCGTCTGTGCCTCATAAGACAAGACTGCTGTGAGTACACTTACCGCCGAAATTAAGCCACTTAATTGTGGTAGCTATTGTTCATCTTTATTTGCTCACCATAGTGTTGAGTACAGTACTCTGCACGATGTTAATGTTTCAGAAACATTAGCTGATTAAGTAAACAACTTAATGAATAAAAAAAGTGAAGGAGGAAAAGAGTCATTCTTAGCTAGGTTTCACTTGTGGACATTTAAAAGCAACTTTATTTCAAATTAATCTAGAAGGAACAGATGCTAAAATAAAAATAAACAGATCACTTTGTAAAGTAGAATTTTTTTTTAAAGACCTCATGAAGTGAAACCAAAAAACATAAATACATGAATACAAAGTAATAGGAGGTTCCATTTCTGTTTCAAATACAAATGTTCATCCTCCCCCCCATTAAAAAAAAGGAAAAAAAATCAGTATTTTTCACTGTAATAAAAAAAATACATAAAAAAATCTTACGTGTGAAAGTGGAAGAGGTCCCGACACAAATCTAAATCAATGTAATTTCAGAGAGCCCTCCTAGGGTACACAGACATTGGTGATTGCTTTCACCACTGGGACACGAGTAGGCTGAAAAGCTTGCCTGCTACTGGCAAAGAAATTTTGGTGGAATAAGGACAAAAAAGCCAAACTCTGTGAACTAAAATAAAATCTTCAGCTCCTTCCAATAGGCTGATTGTCCAGACCCCCTCTGGGCCAAGAGGATCCCTAAAACTGAGTTGCTAGCCATGAGAAGGGAGATCAGATATGCCTCATCATGCCCCTTAGAGTTTTAGAAATGTCCTCTGTTCTCATTAATGGGCCTAAGGGTACGTAAGACAGACCTGCAGGTCCTCAATATACACAACTACTTGAGTCTAGGCATAGTCCTGTGGTTTGTCTCTGATTAATTCACCCTTATCTTAACTCAGCATTCCTTTTCACTGACTTCTGGTCTATTAAACAGAGAGCTTAATTCTTTCAGCCAATTGTCAGCCAAAGAATCCTTAAACCTTCCTATAACCTGTGGGCCCCTGCTTTGAGATGTCCCATCGTTTCGGACCAAACCAGTGTATGTCTTCCAAGTAATTGATCATGACTTGATCTGTAATTCTTGTCTTCCAGAAGTGCATAAAGACAAACTATAATCCCACAACAAATCCACTTGCTTAAGGTTTCTTGGGTGTGGTTCTGGGCCATAGTCCTCAAATTTGGCTCAGGATAAATCTCTTTAAACTATTTTCAAGAGTATGGCTTCTTTTCTGTCATCACTTTCATCAGCCAAACATTGGCTAGGGTTGCAGATTGGGAAATGGAGAAACAAAGCTAATCCACACTGCCAGCCAATTCCCTTTCATAATATTTTTGCTTACAGGCAGCGGTGCTTCCATTGGGTAGAAAGCAGAGCAATCTCCTAATCACACATGCTTACATCCCAGACTCTGCTGCAGGGCCACAACTCACTGTCAAGAGGAAATCAAATGTGAAAAAGATGGAAACTTTACATCTTTTGTATTAACCTAAATGGAGCTGGAGCACATTCTTCTTAGTAAAGCATCACAAAAATAGAAAAGCATAAATCCAATGTACTAAATTCTAATATGAAGACAGTAGATGAGCCAATACAAGGGTGGGTAGGGGAATCAGCAAGTGCCAAGAGGGGAGGAGGGAAGGCGATGGGGGGTCATGGTGTATGGCATACCTCTTGGGAGTGGGACACAATTATAAGAGGGACTTTAACAAATGAAACCAGTGAACAAAAAAAAGAGCAAAAGTATCTGCCAACCTAGACACCTGTATCCATGGAAAAAAAGGTGTAAGAAAAATAAAGGTAAAACAAAAGCATTTCAGATAAACAAAAGGTGAGAAAATGCATTCTTTGCCATAAGAAAAGAAAGTTCTTCAGAATGAAGGGAAATGAGCACAGAAAAGAACCAAGATCTGCAAAAAGAAATGATGATCAGTGAGGTAGTTATCAAAGGAAATATAAAACAATATAGTTTTAATTTCTTTAAAAGACAACTGACTGAAGTAAATATAACAATATATCTTGGGATTATAATGTATGGGGAAATAAAATGTGACAACAATAATACAAAAAATAGAAAGGATAATAAAATTATACTATTATAAGGTTGCTAAATGTTTCACAAAGTTGTTTAATATCTATTCATGACAAAGTATAATAAGTTACTTAGGTATATTGTAACCTTGAGTAAACAGTAATCATATAAAGTGGTAAAACTAAATAGCAGTGGAGGAAATAAAATGGAATGCAAAACAAAAATAAACAAACCAAATCTCAATTTCCAAAAGAATAGTTGAGAAAAATGGGAAAGAAATAAAAAGATGATAGAATGAAGTCCAAGGAATATAAGTAATTACATTAAATGTAGGCATATTCAACTGTCCAATACGAAAACAGAGACTTTAAATCTGGGTTAAAAAATAGACCCAACTCTATGTAGTTTATAAGAGACATTCCATCAATATAAAGACACAGAACAAAAGTAAAATGATATATGTTGCAAATACTAATCATGAGAAAGCCACATGTCTATACACATAACATGTTTATAACAAAAAAGGAAACGTAAGAGATAAGTATCATCAATGACAAAGACAGATACTTCATAATGACAAAGTTGTCATTATCAAGGCCCAAAGTTGGCTCTCTGCTTAGACTAATAAGAATGACTCATCTTTTTTCTCCCGCATACAATTTCCGAAGGCTTAAGAACCCCTTGTGTGTTTATGGACCTCTGTTTAAGAGCTTCCTTTCAAATTCACATTATCTTAAAGATACAACAGTTTTCATTTCAAGTACATGATTCTCTCCATCCTTGATAAGCACTAGTATTATTATTTATTTCATTCTTGCAAGTCATTTACCTGAAACTTCACCTCCTGATTAATGTTAGATACACGGAACTGCTTCAGGAAGCGCTCATCCTCACTCCAGAAGAGACGGATGTCAGGGATGTCGTAGAGGATCATGGCCAGCCTCTCTAATCCTAAGCCGAAAGCCCAACCCATTCGGTCTTGAGCACCAGCTACAATTAGGAAACAAAACAAAGCAACTGTGTTAAAAATATATCTACAAAGATGAGACAGGTGCATACCCACCCTGAGAGTTATCAGTAATGTTGATTAGATGCCTCCAGGGGCAAGGCACGGGGGAGCTGTGCCAGGGGTGCCCAGTGTACAAGTTTCTTCCTCTCCACACTCCTGACTCCTCCCAGCAGCACTCTGAAGTCATACTGACTATAGTATTGTCTTGCATTTCTGATTAAATCCCAGGATTTCTTAAGCCCTGGTTACCATTTCTTACACTTAGGATTTTTCTGTACTCTTTGCTTGCCCTGATTCCAACATTTAGCCTACTATGTGCAGATTATGGAGGGGAAAGAAAAGATAGTCTCCGTCTAAAATTGGTTTATTAGATAAGGAGATATATTCAAAACATGCTATAGGGACTGTTATTCTGGAAGCGTGTCTCTGCACTCTAAGAAGCTCGGCTGTATTAAAACACAGCAATGCTGCTTCTTAGTAAGTGCTACCTCAGCACTGCATAGAGAGCAAGTGAGACAAGGTGAAAGGTGTATTGAGCACCACTTACTCTAAAAGTATAGCGTCCCTGTTCAGATTAAGTCAATGCCATGAATTCTAAGGGTTTATTTTATACCCGTGAAATAGTGTAAGAGAGAAGATACAAACTCCTGAAGGGAGGAAAGCAGGGAGCAATTCATATTCTGGAAAGCTTATGAAATGAGTTCATCAAAGAAACATAATTCCAACTCCTGATTAATATCAGATACACGGAACTGCTGTGGCAGGCTGAGATGGCCCCTAAGATTCCATCCCCTGTGCATACGCCCTGTGTAAACCCCTCCTGTTAAGTATGGGTGGGTCCTGTAAATAGGATGAGATTTCATGCCTGCGATAGGTTCACTTTACACAAGATTCCACCTTGGAAGATTGCAGAGAAATTTCCTTGTTGGCTGTGAAGAAGAGGGTTGCCATGTTGTAAGGGTCCCATGGCTAGTCCCTCAGGAAGGCCTAAGGGAGCTGAGAGGCCCCTGCAGTCAGTGAGAAAATGGGAATCTCACTCCTATTATGAGATGGAAAGAATTCTTCCAACAGCCCAAATGAGGTGAGAAGTGGACCCCAGCTCCAGATGAAAGCATAGCCTTTCCAACAACTTGATTTCAACCTAGCAAGCTCCTGAGCAGGGGACCCTGTCAGTCCATACCCAGATTCCTGATGCAAGGACATAATTGTGACATAAGTAAGTTTGTGTTGTTTTAGGGCACTAAGTGTGAGGTAATTTGTTTCCTGGGGCAGGAGAAGAGAGGTATGCTAAGCTAGATCTGAAATTTGGAAAGAAAGGTGGTAGGAAATTCCAGAATGAGGGACGGGGTACAAAGCAGGCATCTGGAACAAAGGCAGGTTCCCTTCAAGCCATGTTTAGCATTTTGTTCTTGTTTTCATTTTGCACTTAATGTCTTTCTAAAACATAAAGAACCTAAAATTGGTTCACAGACCCCATTCACTCCAGATTGAACTCAAACACCCATGGAGCCATAGGATCAGATGTACAAGATGCAGAAGAAAAAAAAAGTTGTAAGTTAAATATTAGCACCTTTAGTCATTACTTGACATCAAGGCAATCATAAAGATGAATAGAAGCACAGGCATTAGGCTATAAACTACAGCAAGAACGAGAGGCACTGGTCTTTGTTGGAGAACTTTACAAAAATTTCCACTACCGTTGTAGGCTGACTGTTTATGACATATGAGATTGTGCACATGACAATCTACTCAACAACAGAATGCACGTTCTTTTCAAGGTGGTCATTCACCACCATATTCTGGAATATCAAAAAAATTTCAAATATTTAAAAGAACTGGAAAATGTACAAGAAAATTCTATGTCCAAAATGCAAATAAATCAGAAATCAACAATCTGAAATTTGAGAGTGCTGAAAAATCTTTCACATATTGGGACGTTAATAACCCATGATCAAAGAAGTGATCACAAGTGAATTTAAATTAGAAAATATACAAAATGAATAAAAATTAAGATATGACATATTAAAACCGGAACTCATAAATTATTGGGTGGGAATGCAAAATGACCTAGCACTTTGGAAGATAGTGTGGTAGTTTCTTACAATAAACCAATGGTTGTCAAGGGTCAAGAAAGACCTCCTTGTCAACCAGATGTGGCATAGCTTCTGCATGGAATAGATGAAGAGCTAGCAGAAGGAACATCAGCTGGAAACCACATTTTCAAAAGGTGGAAGGGGAGGGGCCTGGGCCTTCCTACGTGAGATGAGGTACACACTGGGAGTAATGCTGATGGTAGAAACTTAAGTTTCTTGCGCCGGAAACGGCCACCACAGCTAGTTGGTCTTGCCATTCAGTTATTTCCACAAAGCTTAACATTAGTCTAAAATTAAAGTCATCATTGAGATTGACTAACAATTCTACTCAAAAGATCAAAATAGTCAGTTACCTTCACATGCCATTTCTGACTATTTTTCTCAGCAGCCTCACTAAAAAGCTATACTGCTGAAAGTCAGATGCTCTAGAGCTGTTTATTGGTAATGTTCGCGGGCCTCAGGGGTGATTGGTGGGACTACGCTGAAATGTTCATGGTAGTGCTAGGGATATTCATGATTTTCGGACCTCGGTCCCATGAGGCTGTCGGTAGGAACAGGCAGATACCTTTCTGAAGAGAAGAGACTGGCTCTACCTGAGAGAACTCAATGTTAAGGGGAATGAGGGGTCATTCCATCAGGTACCTAAAATGCCAACCACCTTGTGTGTCAAAGCTTCTGTTGGAAGCAGGGAACAACTGGACTCCAGCTCTCTAACACTGCCTACAACCTTGATCTAACCTCATTCTGGTCAAAAAGTGTGCTTGAGGCACTTCATTTCATGAAGGGTTACAAGAAAGGATATGGTGTCCATTTGCTGAGCTTTATCAAACTTTACCTTTAAAACATTTGTTTTGGTTGAATTTAGATTTGGTTCTTCTGAATTACACCCCTGCATTGTGCTATTGGTCCACTTCATTATTAAGACAACACCAGGAACTCCTGTTAAGGATATTGGTCACTATATCACATAGCCTTCCACAGGAGGCTTCAGGAAATAAATTGATCTCAGATTTCAGAAAATGCCTTTGGGCCTTGGGAATAGAAAAACTTTTTTCTCCTGAACAACTGGATTGCTTTTAATTCTAAGGATGTGTTAAATAACGGATCATAATTCACTGTTTACTTTGGCCCCATGGAATCTTAGAGACAAACTTGCAAGTCACCTCTACCACTGCACGAGTGCTCACGAGACATTTTTCTGCATGACTCTTGCCCTAGTTTTATTTTCTTATCTGTATTTCCTCTTTTCTCTGATTATCTCAACTATTTATTTTATCCTCTTGTATGTACTTTTATAAGGCACTTCAAGTTCTTTATGGAAGAAAGTGAGCTATAAATAAATAGACACTTAAAGATATTGTCAGCCAAGGCAGGTATAATTTCCAGGTCTTTGGCACTCCTCAGCTATAATTTGTGGTCAGATACTCAAGGGCTGACAGGGCTTTAAGGCTGTATTTTTTTCCCCTTATTCCAAAACTAGAGTCACCAAAGCAGAGAACTGACTGCAGAGGAACATCCTCAATTAGCAGAGTATTCAGGATGGGAAACAGTTCAGTATTTGGAGTAATGTGATTCTGTGCATGATCGAGCATCCCAAGCAGGAAAACGTTCTGTGTTTATGCTGAAGTTGTTTCCAAGAAAGCCAGCTTACAAATATAAGCAAAGAATACAAGAGAAAAGTCCACAAATGGGAAAGTTTTTTTAAAAGAAAAGGAATTGGAGGAGGAGAAGGAAGAGAATGTCAAAAGAGGACAGTGAGAAGTCACTAGTGTGAATAGGGGAGACATAGAACCTAAAAGATCCTAATCCCACAGGACAGTCATTCTAAGCAGAATCTGGCTCTCCAGGCTCTTCCCCTACAGCTGCAGAGAGCAAAGGAGAGCCCCAAGCATGGAGGTTCTGCACGTGGCCTCTTGTCTACCTCCAACATGAAGACTCTGAGGGCAAGGAACATCTCCAAAGCGAGTATGGCAATACTGTGGGTAAGGTCTGGGCGGAGAGCAAAGAGCACTGTGGAAAGACTAAAAATGAATGCGATTACTCAATGCTGGACCTCCAAAGGCATAGGACATCTGCATTGTCTGTGGAAGTCACTGGAGATGAGGTGGAGATGCTTCTCAAGCCTCCATCTCCAAAGTGCTTAGTCCTGCGGTGTCATGCAGGAAAGGCACATGTCACCAATCTGAGAAAGGGCTAAGAACGGCCAGGGTTGAATATGAAACTAAGGTCTATACATAAGCAACCAAGTCACACCAAGGCACATGCAGCCTGTAGGTCTTCAACAAGGTGTACAATGACCTTGAGCCCCTGGGGAAAGGGGTACATACACCATTACATTATGCCAGCCAGTGCTGACATAAAGTCAAGGCCAGTAATTTTAGGGGAAAAAAAATGTTAAATAGTGTCATCCATTTGAGTGATTATCCTTTTACTTCTAAGAAAACTGGCTTTTCAGATTAATTCTTTTTTAGAATTAATTTAATTTAGAAGGTTTAGAATAATTAGAATAATTAGAAGGTTTAGAATTAATTTAGAAGGTTTAGAATAAACTGGAATGCAAGTGGTGTTTACATTAAGTCAGACCTACTTGCTCATGACTATTCAAAGAAGTTACTACTGTGAGAAGTTTACTCCCATTTTCTCCTGAGAAGTCTGGAAGGACATTTCCTCCTTTATCTATAATTCTCCATCAATGATCTCTTTAACATTTTGGGGACTAAGTAAAATCCTTGTTTCAGAACAAAATTTGCACCAGCCTACAAGCAGGAACCCAAACACAACCCTTTTTTAGGGATGAAATATAAAATTGAATTTGAATTTTGCTGTGCCTGCTGCCATGAATGAAAAGTAAAGGTGTCAGAGTATCAACATATTAACAATGTTCTGCT